TCGAACTGACCAATTCGGTTTGATGATTGTCCAATTGATTTTTCGTTTGTCCAAATCGCTTCACCTTTGTCCTAACTTACCTGGTCAAAGGGGTAATAATAATAAAACTATCCCTCTTCACAGTCGTGCTCTACCCTCAACGAGCGGAAATTCCTAAAATGACTATCTAGTACGACTCGGAGAGCACTGATCCTTGAATCTACACATGACCCACCAACAACAAACAATCCTAGCAAGTTCATTGAATCTGCACAGGTGCTCTCCCTTTTTTTTTTTTTTTGCTGTTGTTGTTGAGAGGACTCGATCCTATGGAGGGAAGGTGGGCGAGTTCATTTCACACCCACCAACAACAAACAATCCTAGCAAATCGTCGTTGAGTGCGTGGCCTAATCTCTCAACCACAGGTGAAAAGTCCTGATGCATTGAATCTGCACATGACCCTTCACCACTTCTGCTTCAAATCAATGCACATGCCCCTTCTTCTTCTTCCTCTCTCTCTCTCTCTCTCTCTCTCTCTCTCTCTCTCTCTCTCTCTCTCTCTCTCTCTCTCTCTCTTCACCGCTCCCTGTCTCTCTCTGGTCAGGTATCTCCTCCCTCCCGAGGAACCGCGCAAGCGCCTCTCTCTCTCTCTCTCTCTCTCTACAAATATATATATTGTCACACTGTGAATCGGAGCGCAAAGGCGGAAAAAAGCAAAACAAGGAAGGGAAAGAAAAAAAGTAAGGAAGGAAAGCCCCACCTGTTCATCACCTCTTACGTACAAGGCCAGCCACGTGGATGACAGGTTGAGCGCTGGCTGCCCCCATATATCTGTGTGTGAGTGTGCGTACAAGTCTCAGTTCGGTGGGGCGAGACGATGTGATTGAGAGTTGCTCGGGGGAAATAAAGGGAAGTCGCGTCCAATTATTATAGGTATAATACCTATAGTAGTTGTACCATTGGCATTCAGCAGAATCAGCACGTCTTGTAATGTACGAGTGGCGTATTGGACATCCAATCTGGTCGACATTTGCTGTCCCATACGGAAAATTCTATCTTGTACTAGCGATCTGATGTGAGAGCCGTACTGCTGGTCGCGCCGTGTGCTCTTGGACCATTCCATAGACGACACGACACACTTCCTGAACAGTGCATCGTCCCCCGTACCCTCTCTCTCTCTCTCTCTCTCTCTCTCTCTCTCTCTCTCTCTCTCTCTCTCTCTCTCTCTCTCTCTCTCCCAAATATATATATGTTTTATGTATCTCACAAAGAGTAGCTTCTGGAAACATTGGTATTGAAAATCTTAAAAAAACATAAGTTCCCAATTTTAAGAGAACACACACACTTTCCCTCCGTCATATTTGGATCGATACACAGACAAATTTCGCATTTGCCCTGCCGTGATGACATTTATCAATCGTGTGCTTTTCCTCTTCGTTCTCTCTCTCTCTCTCTCTCTCTCTCTCTCTCTCTCTCTCTCTCCTGTCTCTTATACACATCTAGATGTGTATAAGAGACAGCACACACACACACACAAACACACACACAGATCGATCGAAGAAACGACAGAACACAAATAATAAAAAGCAGAAAATGAACAGAAAAGAAAGAAAAACTGCGCACATGCACACACATACACATGGAGTGTTAACTCACCTTCATTTCATGGTGGCCCGGTCATCTTTAAGACTCCAAGCGCGATGAACAGCCCAATCCTCAGCATCTTCAACCTTCACAATGCAGAGCCCAACCTCCAGCAAGAGCTTCGGGACCACCAATCCTCACAAACCGCCCAAGCTCGAAAATGTACCCTCCCTGTGCGTATGTGATGACTGTGCGTATGTGATGACCTCAAAGTGTGTGTTTGTAGCGTAGCGAGTCGAGAGCCCAAGTATCCAGTAGAGAGTTCTCTCTCTCTCTCTCTCTCTCTCTCTCTCTCTCTCTCTCTCTCTCTCTCTCTCTCTCTCTCTCTCTCTCTCTCGCAAGCGTCTCTCTGAGAGTCCTCTCTCTCTCTCTCTCTCTCTCTCTCTCTCGCAAGCGTCTCTCTAACACGCACACACTTCCGAGTCCGACAGTCGGAGAGTCGAGAGCCCAGCTCGCATAAGACGCGACGTAGGGAATTGAGAGAGAAGGGTAGGAGTGGCGTAGAACAGGAGTGGCGTGGGAGAGGAGAGAGAGTCTAGTCCAGCTGTAGACTCGAGCGCGGGAAGTTCAGACTCCAATCGGCCTGATACGGGCGGCGCGATCCAGCATCGGCCAGCAGATGGGGCGCGGTTTTTCCCCGCCCTGCCCACGGTACATGCGCCCAATATTTCCGAGCGCGGTACCGCCAAAAAGCGGCCACCAGAAAAGAAAAAAAAAAAAGAAAAAAAAAAGAAAAAAAAAGAAAAGGAAAAAAAAAAAGAAAGAGGGCCACCAGCTGGCATACCGTGGGCTAGGTCCCACTGACACGAATTAAGCGATATTGACCGTAGATAGCAAAGATCGACGGCCAGATTCTCGTAATCCATGCAAGTGGGACCTTGCCCCGTAGCGCAGTTGAAATAAAGGCCTGAGTTCGAGCTCTAGTTCGCAGCCAGGATGGCTGCGTATACATGGATGTTGTGTTTTGGGCTTTAGGGGAAGGTGGGAAGGGTGCAGTCGCGGCTAGGAGACGGACCGGTAGTGGGAGTAGTCGTGGCAGGTTTTGGGGAGTGTATGTGGAGGGGTCGTTTCATAAGGTCGGTCGGGCTTGCGGTGGGCGGCGACCAGGTTTCCTTTTCGGGTGGAGGGTTGAGTCTTTTTTTGTCTTTTCTTGGGGGCTGTCGGGGGTTCTTTTTCTTTTCTGGATCTGCGTCGAAGGTTCTTTCCTGGAGGATTCTAGATGATCGGGCGTCGTTGCAATCGGGCGTCGTTGCATTGTGGCGTTTCTCCTTTTTTTTGCATGTTTTTTTTTTGTTTTTATTTTTTTATTTTTTTAAAAGCATGAAGACAGTCTTGTCTTTCTTCATATATACGGACCGTACGTACGGAGGTCCCCGAGCAGACCTCCGTACGTACCGGCGTTCGGGGTCCAGTACGGGGTCCGAACCCGACAGCGTTCGGCCCCGCCAAAAACTATTTCGAGGCCTAAAAATAATTATTTTTTCCTTAATTTTGTTTTCTGAGTTCTCTATGACGTGAAGTACATGCCTGTAAATTTTCAAGTCATTTGGCTTAGCCAAATAAGAATTAAAAATCGCCAAAGATGTCGGTGTCAAACCGTGCTCGCCCACGTATTTTTTTACTTTTTGTTTTCACTTTAGTTAGGGGTCTAAACAATTTTATTATTTTTTGAAACTTTTTTAGTGGGTTTTGTATTATGTGAAGTACATGTATGTAAATTTTCAGGGCATTTGGATATGCCATAAAAAAATGAAAAATCGCCAAAGATGGCGGTGTCGAAAACATGCTCGCGCACTCACTAAATTTAATTCTCTTTTTATTTTTATTTATTTTTATTATTAGTATTTATTTTCCGTATTTTATTTTTATTTCAAATTTGGTAATGAATTAGGATGTAATGCTCAGGTAAATCGTGTTTAATTTA